CTCAGTTTACGTCTGCAAAATGGCAATAGTGGTAGTACCTACCTGATAGAATTCTTGTGAAGATCTAACGCATTGATGTTTGTAAAGGGTTTGAAGTAGTGTCTGGCATATAATAACTGCTGTATGAGTATTTAAAGGAGCACTTAGTCCTTCTTCCAATCTTGCCAATCAGATAATGCATTCATCCTCCTGTGGGGAAGAAAGGAAGAGGGAAAGCCAGGGTTTGTTCGTATTTTCTTCTCCTGGGGCAGGGGTTGGAGATCTCTCTCCTCTGTGGAAATGTACAGATTGCGGGACAGCCTCGCCCCTGACCCCGCCACATTCATGCCGGTCCACAAGTAAGTGCTGACAACAACAGATGATGGGGAGAGAGATGGAGGTCACAGCCCCGAGGAAGGAAACATCTTTTTTCCAGCGGGTGACTGGGGAGACTTTATGGGCTGGATGAAGTGTGAACTGAGCTGATGGAGGGCTAGGATCTTCACAGACAGGGACTCAGGGAGAGCATTTCAGGCAGATGGAGCAGGTGATCAAGGCCTGGAGGTGAGTGAGTGCTGAGTGTCTCTGCAGAGAGCAGAAAGGTCCCCATTCGGCTGAAGCATGGGGAACTGGTAACAACTGTTAAGAATAAATCAGCAAATTCTGCAAATCATGGGAATCCCTGATTGGATCCATGGGGAATGAATTTTAAGCCATTTGCCATAGGAAGTAAATTTAAGTATTTGAGCAATATGTAGCATAATTAGGGCAGATCATTTCCCAGTATTGGGGCCAAGATAGCCTGGGTGAGAGAGAGGCTTGGGGAGACATAGGGAGTAGGACACAGTCCACAGCTAAAGGTGTGTGAGAGTTATTGAATTAGAGTGCCCCCTGTGGGCGACAGGAGCATCATCATCATGATTATTATTACCCACCAGGTGCTAAGGGAGAGCGGACATGCCTGGCTAGAGAGAGAGCTCTGCTCCAAGGGTCTGAATGGTGCCAGCATGTGCCTGCTGTAGAAGGGGAAGTGCATGAGCTGGGCTCTTTAGTTGGCAGATGGGAAGACTTGGTGGGTAGAGTCTCCATCTTCACTTTGGCTGGCCTGGCCTGTGGCAGGGGAGAAGGCCATGGTCCACATCTGTGTCCCCAGCACCTGGAACAGGGCTTTTGGAACAGAGAATGCATTTCAGAATAGGAAAGATTTGTGGCCTGAGTTCAGGAGGTAGATCTGGAACCAGCAGGTGAAAGGCAGGTTGCCATTTAACTCAACTTTTGTAGCTGCCTAGCTGGGGAGAGGCAGCCACTCAAGAAGGAGATGCAGGTGGGCACGGATGGCCACTGGGGAGGCAGGCGGGTGGGCTTTAAAGCCCCTTCCAAACTCTGGGATTCTCTCGTCTCCTAAACCATTAGCCAAGGAGATGATAATGGTGGTGGTGGTGGTAGTGATGGTGATGATGGTAAAGACAGAAGCCTGCTTATTGAGCATCTATGATGAGCCTGGTTCTTTCAATACTTTATTTTTAATATGCTTTCCATATGAGAGGAACTGAGGCTCACACAGGTGGCCGGCCTGAGCAAGGTAAATGGCAGAGCCAGGGTTGAAATCTACACCTATCGGATCTCAAGCTCTCCATTCTTTCCAGCACACCTGGAAGGCCAAGGGTTTGGGAGATAGGACATGTATCCAACATACATGTGCACTCTCCAGATGAGGCCCTGATCAGCTGCTGTGGCATTGTGCAGGCAGGGCACCCTGGCCTGCTTCCTGGGAGCCCATAGCCTGGTCAGAGGAGATGAGAAAGGCATGGTCACCTGCAATTCAGACAAAGGTGACCTGAAATGTGCAGATCTAATCGTTGCTAGAGCAGCCCTGGTAGAGAGGGCACTGTGAGCCAGAGACTCGAGGGGTGGGTCAGGCGTGCCTGAGACTCGGCCTCGTATGGATGTGGATCAGACCAGGGAGGGCGTGTTCTTGTGCTGGAGCCTAATGGCTGTGACTTCCAGGTGGAGACCATCGGGGATGCCTACATGGTAGCATCCAGGCTGCCCTGGCGCAATGGGAACCGGCATGCAGCTGAGATCGCTAACGTGGCCCTGGACATCTTCAGCTCTATGGGCAATTTCTGGATGAGGCATGCGCCCACTGTGCCCATTCGCATCAGGGCTGGGCTGCATTCAGGTACATGCTTGGGGCTATAGGAGCGACAGGCCAGAGCAGCCTCCCAACCCTGCCTGGGTCACTGGCCGGGACAACCCCAGTGGTGTGCTTCTGGAATTCTAAGAATATAAAACTCCATAATAGAAAAATTTTACATTTCTTTTTTTCTTCTAGTATTTTAAGGGTCTGTCTATTATTACCTATCAAGGGCATCTAAGTTCATGCTGGGGAGATGAGAATCTGATGGAAGAGGCAGGACAGAGACCTTCTGTTGTCATGCAAACAACTAAATGTTTGCTGGGAGGGGGCCAGGAGAAGCCTCAGGGTCTCTACTATAGTATATCCTTCTTATGCCCCCACCCCTTCCTTTCTACATATCCCTGCACAGTGAAGTCTAAACTCCCTGCCCACCGCACCTGCCCTAGCCTCCAAGGCCCTTGTTAATCTCTCCAACCTCATTTTCCACCACTTCCCACTCCATCCATACTCAGTTGATTACCGTTTCCCACAGACAAGTGGGCTCTCTGCCTCTGTGCCTTTGCACCTGATCTTCCCTGCCCTCATTCTCTCATTCTTCAAGACACAGTTTATGTACTGCCTCCTCCAGGAAGTCCTCTGGGCTGGGTCAGAGTTTCCTTTCTGGGCTGGCACAGCCCTAGTGCTTCCCTCTTCAGAGCATTGATTATAGTTTACACATCTCCCCTCACCGGGCTAGGAGCTCCCTAAGAGCAGAGCCTGGCTCTGATTTATCTATGTCCCCCTACCCCCATCCCAGAGCCTGGCACAGATGTTGCCTCCTCTCCGGTTTTTATCAGAGACTCCATACAGCTTTATCCTCATCCTTCAGCTGGAGCCCAAGATGTGGGGTGGGGATAGCAGCTGGAAGGGGTGAGTGGGGAGTGTGGGAAGGGCAAGACTGTTGTGGGGACTTCCCTTGGGTCCAGGACCTACGAGAATTCACTGGGTACATTTGAGTTTCAGGGCCTTGCGAGACAGGGGTCGTGGGTCTCATCATGCCTCGGTATTGCCTCTCTGGGGACACTGTTAACACCTCATCTCGGATGGAGTCTACAGGTCTGTGTGAGTGTCTCATGTTTCTATCCTGCCCAGGGAATGACCCCTGAAGCCTGGATGTTTCAAACAGGACTTAGTAACTAAATCACCACCTGGTGGCAGCGTACCCTAGGTAATAGTAAACAACTAGAAGGAGACATATGTCACTGCTTCTTTTAACCTTCCACAGGGGATGATCTCATGAGAGAACAATGACTGGAAAGGCAGGAAGCCTGGGTCCTCGGCCTGACTGCAGCCAGCGTGCCTAGTGTCCTTGAGCAAAACGCTCTTCCTCTAGGGCTTGGTTTCCCCATCTTTACAATGAGGAGACCCTTTTCAATGTTTTTAAAATGCCATTTTAGGCCTTTGCTGTCAGCAGGGGCCTCTCCGAAGGCTTGGTTGGAGCAGCTGAAAAAGCTGAGCCTGTTTCTGGCTGCACAGGTTGTGGGCCCCCTAGCACTGCTCAGCAGACATTCTGCTTAAACAGATGCCCTACTGGGGAGTCCTGCCTGTAAAAGAAAAATGACTGCTTATCTGCCCTGACTCAGCCTTCACTGTCTTCCCTATAAGCAGCGATTATGTTCCTAAGGTTCTGACCTCATCTTGAGTTCTTCTTAACACTCAATCCATGTAATTTGCTTTTCCTTGAGACCCCTATTTTAGCACCCAACAATCTACTAGGACAAGAGGGCCAGGCGAAGGGTATTGCATGAATCAGAATTGTGTGCATTGCTGGCTGGAACTGAGGCTTTTAATGAGTTTAACCAGACGCTAGGTGGTCACTTGACTACTACCTTTCTTCTCAGCGTACAGAACTCATGTCCACAGCAGCACTGTCCAGGCACCGCTCAGCCTGGATGAGGGCTACAAAATTGACATCAGAGGCCAGACTGAGCTAAAGGTGGGAGACTTTCTTTCCTAGGATTGATGGGAAATGTCTCCAGAGGTTCAGTTTCTGTGGGCAGCAGGAGAGATTCTCATCTGACTGATGTAGCTGAAGGAAATGCCTGCCAGGGGGATGATCACCTTAAGTGTCTTCTTCACTCCCCAGCTTCTAAGTCAACATTTCTTCCTAGGAGCTACTCCTTTATTTGGCTCCCATGAGGAGAAGGGCCAGGGCAGAGAAGTTACTTCTATTAGTCACCTACCTGGGCGGCATGCTGGTGCACAGCATATATTACCATATTTATTACAGAAATAATGAAAGGAGGATCAATGTCCCCATTTTATAGTTAGGAAATTAAATTAGGGAGGCAAAATGACTTGTCCAAAGTCACACAGCTGTTTCCCAGGTCTGGTGGCTCCAAAGCCTGTGCCTTCTCCATAGCACTGTTGGGCTCCTACTCATCCCTCAGAACCCTAGCACACACCTTACCTCTCACTGAAGCCTGCCCTGACCCAGGAGTACCCCTCTTCTTCCATCCCCACAGCAGTAACTATCAGGCCTTCTCTGTGCACCCACCAGGCCCACGGCCAGCCCTCTGCTGTAGTAGGTGTGATAATGGTTTTTACTTGCCCCTGAGCACCAAAATGCAGAGATGTGCCTGTCACTTCTGTATTCTTTTTTTAAATGTTAACCTTCAATACCATTCTTTTTTTTAAATGTAACCTTCAATACCATTCCCCCAATTCCTCAGCTAGAGCCAGGCCTGGAAGAGTCTAGAGCAGCCTAGACATTTAAAGGCCCAGGGCTGCAGCTGGGCCCCAGAAATAGGGTGCTCCACGGGACTCACTTCATTACACAGTGAAATGTCAGAACAGGAGAGTACAGCTCAGAGAGGACAGTGACTCATCCAAAGTCACACAGCCTATGAAGGCCGGCATACGTGGAATCTTTTGCTCTGGAGGCTGAGGGAGAGTGAGCTGGAGTAAGGGCAGGCGTGTCTTATTTGGGGGAGTGGACGCTAGATGTCCTGAGGAAGAGGATTCTGATGACAGAAGGGGATCAGAGAGGGATTGGGGAGGGCGGCATGCCAACCTCGAGTTCTTTGGGCTGGCCCGGGGATCCAAGTGGCAATATCCACCCCTGGCCAAGGTGGGGTGTGAAACGTCTAGGACAGCCAGCCCTGCCCCCAGTGCCCCTCATGTCCTCTTTGCTCCTAACTCCAGATGGCTGCCCCCCAATCCCAGGGGAGGCCACCAGATCCTTCAGTAGTTTGGGAGAATCACAGATCATAGAATCCTGGGATCTCAGCATGCCAGGTCTGCTGGTTACCGCATTCATAAGTCATTATTTATTTATGTCTCTAACAGATAAATATTAACTTATTTAATCTTCACAACACTATGAGGCATTGAGGAAACTGAGGCACAGAGAGGCGAAGTAAGTTGGCCAAGGTCCCACAGCTGGCAAGTGACAGAGCCAGGATTTGGACCCAATCTGCCTCCAGGCTCTAGGCTGCTGTCCCCAGAGCTTAGGAGTCACATGCCTCTACCCTTGGTCTCAGTTTGTGAAGGTTTGCTCAACCCCTTTCCTCTGTCTTCCAGGCGAAGGGCATCGAGGAGACCTACTGGCTGGTGGGGAAGTTGGGCTTCCCCAGAGCCCTCCCCATACCTTTGGACATCAAACCAGGGTGAGTGAGGGGAGTTTCCCCCAAAGCTTGGCCTCTTTTGTTTGAAATTTGACATTTGCTATTTTTCTGATTATGAAAGTATTACCTGCCTAGTGGGGAAAACTTGGAAAATGCAGAATTCTTTAATGATTAATCGCTATCTTTCCGCTCCTGAGAGACAGCCATGGTTAGCACTTTAGCATGGTTCCTGCCAGCCTGTTTCTGATGCATCTGTTGTGGGTGAGGTCATGCTGCCTCCATAACTTCTCATTCCGATCTGTGCTGTCCGCTCAACATCCTGAGCGCCCTCCTGTATTGTTCAGAGCACTTTACTAACACTTATGGCATTGGGATTGCAACATGCGGGCGCCGTGATTAGCTCAGCCTTTCTCTTGTGGCAGGGCATGTAGATTCTTCCCACCTGAGCTGGTTACAGGTTGATGCGTTGATAAATATCACTGGGCTTTTGTCACCATTCAGACTAATTCTGCAGATGAGGAATTTACAGATCAAAGGGCACTCATATTGTAGGAGCCAAAAGAAGCAGATTCTCAGAGAGTTTGTGCCTGCCCTGCAGTTGGGCTCTTTCCTTTGTGCTCTGTCCTTTGTGACCCCATGTCCCTTGCTGAGGGCAACACAGGTGAGGTGGTGGAGGAAGCAAAGACGTTTTTCTGCGACATGCTGTTTCTCACTCCCTTCCACTCAACAGTGAGCAGTCCACAGAGGGCAGAGCATGCAAGTGTTGTCCATTGCTGAGAATTAGTTTCCTACTGATGAGGTGGCCCTCAGGCCCCCAGGCTTATCCCACCAATGGGAGGCTGCCCTGGGGATGTTCAGAGCTCCAGCAGGGTCCCACTGCACAACCACCTCAGATCTTTCGGCCCAGAGTCTTTCCCGCATCAGAACTTCTGACTAGCCCTTCTCAGCTCTTCCAGGATGGCCCATCCCGGCTACCCACCTCTCATTTCTCAAAGATGGGAAGCATGTGGGCAACTCATGGGCTTCCTGGGAAAAGACTAGCACTAAACAGCCCAGGCTATGTGTCCTCCAAGCGGAAGGACTGATGTGGACAGGGGCTGCGGGCAGTCAGAGCAGCCATTTCCTTCTGTCAGGGTGCCCCTGGGGCCCCAGGGAGCCCGGGCAGAGCAGTGCCTGGGGCAGGCAGTGCCCTGTTCATCTTCATATCTGAGTGCCTTCCCTGACACATACTGGGTACAGCGAGGTAGGGAGGAGGAGGGGGACGGATGGACACACACTGGTGTATGGAGAAGCCCCCAGGGTACAGGACACACAGATGCATCCTTTTTATAAGGACACTTTAGCCTCCTGGGTGCAAAGCCAGCTTATGTTCACAGAAAGGCTTCCACACAACCCTGGGTCCTGCAACTTTGCAGATGGCTTGCTGGGTGAGGACAGGGCTCAGGACTGGCTGTGCGACCTCGGGCAGGTCCCTGCTCTCCCTGGGCCCTCCCACATGCCACAGCAGCCCCAGCTCACCCACCCCCTCATCCTGTTCCCATCCACTGAGCTCCTCTACTCCAACCTCCTCTCTGGCCTCCAAGGGCAAGCCGTCCTCTGCCCTCAAGGCCCTCGGTTGCCCACCCCACTTCTGCCTCCACGGGCAGCCACACTTCTCAGAAGTCCTGTCTGCTGACACTGACTGCACTTCCTCACCTCCCACTCCAGGCCCAGCTCCTGCAGCCTGACTTCCACCCTCAACCGCCCAGAGAGCTCTGTGAGGTCACTGGTGACCTCCGCCCATGTCACCAGCTCCGTGGGCAGTTTTAGTTCTCAGCCTGATGGCTCGCAGCATTTCCCCTGCCTCTCTCTTCCTAGAAACACGCTCTCCGGGCCTCCTTGGCGCCCTGGCTGTGCCACCTGCTCTCCAGCTCACGCTCCCCGGGCTCCCTGCCAGCTCCTCTGCTCTCCCCAAGCCATGGATGCTGGGGCTGCACCGGCCTCCCCCCTGGGGCCTCCCTTCCTCTCTTCACGCCAATGACACTGTCACGGGCCTTGGCCCCCAGCCTCTCCTCCAAGCTCCAGGCCCCGGGTAGCTCACACTGACCCCTCAACAATTCCTTTTGGAGCTTCCACGGCACCGGAGATCCACCAGGCCCACCTGGCAGCCTGGCCCTCCACCAGCATTCTCTCATGGGTGGCCTCGCCACCCTCAGTCAGAAAGCTGGACACTGTCGTGGAATCCCCAGCAAGTCCTGCAGCTCCAGTCCATCACACCCCCAGCCTGCCGGCTTCTTCACCTCCTCCTCTCTTTGGGCAACTGCAGGAGGCCTCACCATCTCCCCTCATCCACCTCCACACGGCAGCCAGAGTGATATTTTAAGTAAAACACAAACATGATTAATATGAAAGTTCCCTGTTTAATACTCTCTGGGTCTTCCTACTCCGAGACTCAAGCCTGAGCTCTTTGAAGTTGCCTCTGGGGTCCCATTCTGTTATTCCTGGACCTGCCCCTTAAGCTCAGCTTTCCAGCACCTTCCACTGTGCACCATCTGCTCAGGGCCTCCCTGCTGCTCCTCAAGACTCTCAGTGCTTCCCACCTCAGGGCCTTTGCTCTTACTGCCCCCTATATCTAGAACGCCCTGGCCTGTCCCTTCCTCTCCTGCAGGTCTCAGCTCTGATGCTGCCTCCTTCACGAGGTGGATCGCATCACATACTCTAATCCGAGCCCTGCTGTCACCCTCCCTCCCATCTCCCCACACTGGGTCCCCGTAGCACTTGTTACTCCCTGATATTTCTTGTTGATGCATTTATGGAACTTTGCCCAGGACAGCCTGGCCAGCTGATGGGCCTGCAGATGCTCGATGCCCAGGGAGGTGAGCTCCCACCATCTCCCTTGCAGGGCCCTGGCTGTGCAGGCCCTAGGCAGCCCATCTCCCAGTCCCCCGCCTCATCCACCCCATCCTGGAATTGGGGACCAGCAGGTCTGGCAGGTATTTGTCATTCTGAGCTCTGTCAGGGATGACTTTTCCACTCTGGGACAGAAACTTTATAAAGTGCCAGCAATGTTTTCATCTTCTCGGTTCAGGGAGGGAGGAGAGCAGACATTAGCCACAGCGAGCTCTGCCTGACCTAGGAGCCTCCCAGGCCTCCGGGCAGCAGGGGAGAATCCCATATCCACAGGCTCAGATCCAGCAGGTGGGCACCCGGGGCCTGAGCGCACAAGTGCACCCACACGTGCACACACACTCTACCTGTCATGGGTATCAGGTGCACACACAAGTGGAAATACTACCATACACCCCTCCATATGCTTGGAGATGAGATCACAGACAGGCAGACCCACGGACCCCAGGCAGACACACAAGTAGACACACAGAATCTCTGTAGGAAGGGCCAGCTGGATGGGAACTTGTTTACAAGGCAGTTACCAAATTTTTACTTGAACTGTATGCTATAGCTTGATTTTCTTTTTTTTAAATTGAAGTTTACAAGGCTGTGTTAATTTCTGTAACAAGATTTTTAAGTCAAGTTTTCTAAAGATGCTTTCATTCTCACTTTCAATATTTGCCCTATCTGCAGAAGTTGTTTATCTTTATATTTGGGGATGCTTAGGGAATCTGGTGGAAATCAGGGGAAGGAGACAAAAGGCCCCTCTCATGTTTTGGTGTAGCCACGACCCAGGCAGCAGTACCCATGGAACTGGCTCCCATCACCTGTCACAGTGACACTCCACACAGGGGCCCCTTCTCTCCACTCTGCCCCTGACAACCAGCGGTTTGTCCATGGCAGGGCTGCTGCAGAGGTCAGGAGAAGCCAACGAGAGCAAGGGGATCCTTGTAAGCAGCTGTGGGCTCTAAACAGCCACCACTGTTGTTCTGGGTCAGGGTTTATTATTCTTGTTTGTCCTTTTCCCCCAGGGACCCCTGGCAAGACCTCATAAACCAAGAAATCAAGGTGGCCTTTGCCAAAGCCCGCCAGAGCATAGCTGGGCCCTGGAGCTCGGGGAAGGCCTCGGCCAGGCCATGAGGAGAGGGACAGAGTGCGGCAGGGGTGGGTACCAGCCCGGAGTCCTCTGTGCCTGGACACCCCAAGCCCTCTCCCTGCTCCACTCCCAACAAAGAACTCTTTTGCTGAGCTCCCTGGTGACCACCAAGGCGCTTATTGAAAGGTGTCCTAGAGCGATATTAATAGAGGTGTTCCTGTGTGAATCCTATGGGTAAACTTGCTTCTAGACACAGAAAGAATAAAAATAGAAATAGTCTCTTCCTTTCATGCAGTGCTTTGTTCTTGACAAATGGTTCTGACTCTTGAGAGCTCATTAGAGAACTCATTGTTCCTTACCTGGAGAACACTGTCCCCACCAGACAGCCCAGGTGCCCAGGCCCAGAGAGAGGAGGTCATTTGTCCCAAGTGGCATAGCTGCCATAGGCAGAAGCAAGATGGGGACCAGGCACTGTGGCCAGACCATGTGCTCACCTCACACCACTTCTTGGAGCCTCTGTTTTGTCATCTCTAAAATGGGTGTGCACAGAGCCCACATGAGGCTTGTTCCTGATCAGGGCTTGGCCCACAGCAAATGCTCAGAGCAAGCTCCCTCCTTCCCTGCCTGGCCTCCTGGAGCTGGCCTAACTTTTTGGGCTTCTATGAGTGCTGTGTTGGGATTCCAGGTCTTGGACTCCCAAAATTTCAGGAGAGGGGTGAGGAGAGGAGTGATAATTCCTTGGTTCTTAGGGAAAAAAAGACTTCTATCTTACAGGGGAAACCTACCCCCCAACCCAAAAAAACCCCACAACCAACTCATTAAACTGATTCCCAACATCAAAGAGTGCTTTCCAAACCCTGGAGGCCGATTGCAGAGCAGGCGGACCAGGCGCACATGGAACTCATTTCCTTAACTGAGGGGAGAGGGCCAGGGGCCAGGGGGCAGGTTAAGCTCTAAACAAACTCATTCTTCTTCAGAAGACTCCTTGGGAGTGGGGAGCTGGCACTAAAACTGAACTGTGGGTCCTCAAGAAAATGTTCTGCTGTAGGGGCTGTGCTGTGTGTGTGTGTGTGTGTGTGTGTGAGACAGAGACAGAGAGAGGAGACGTGAGAGGGATGTGGGAGACGTGTGTATGGAGCCATGAGCAGCTGCGTGGTGGAAAGTGCTCGACTCGGCTTTAGGAGATGCCCCTGCCATCCTGACTGCACAACTTTAGACCTAATTTTTTTTTAATTGAAGTATAGTTGGTTTACAATGTTGTGTTCATTTCTGGTGCACAGCGTAGTGATTCACTTATACATATGTATATTCCTTTTCATATACTTTTTCATTATAGGCTATTACAAGGTACTGAATACAGCTCCCTGTGCTGTGCAGTAGGGAGTTGTTGTTTACTAGTTTATATATAGTAGTTAGTATCTGCTAATTCCAAACTCCCAATTTATCCCTCCACCCCCTCTTACCCCCCTGCCCCCATAACCATAAGTTTGTTTTCTATTAGACCTAATCTTTTTACTCCTCAGTTTCCTCAAATGCAAAAACAGTCACCCTTACCTCCCATGTCATTGCAAGAATTAACGAAAAAATCTAGAAACATTGTGACTGGCCCTGAGCGAGCCTGCGGAAGGGCTAGGAAGGGAAGATGTGCGCACCCCTCTGCGGGATGTGCCTGAGGCTCTGTGTGAGGTCCTGTCTGACGTGCGGTGCTGCCATGGGCTGGGGGCCAGGTGCACGGCCCTGGTTCCTCCACAGGGCTCTGTGTGGACCACACTAGGCCTGTGGATTTTCCCTCCCAGCCTCTGCCTCTTCATCTGTAAAAGGAACATTTGGTCTAGTGACGGTGAGGTGACCTCTGGCCTGAGGCTCTGTGTGTATCCCTGGGCACACAGCTGGTAAATGGAGACCCAGCAGGAAGCAGACACAAGGGGATCAGAATTCAAACTAGGATCCCTCTTTCCTCCCATGAGCTGGTTGACGGACCTCTCTAAGCCCCTCAGCTCACTGCATGTTGGGCACCAGACCCCCGCACTGCCTGCCTTACCAGGCTGCTGTCAGGTCAAAGGAGGCAACACTGTGAAAGCATGGTGTCCCCAAGGAGTGTGCTGCAGCTGTGACTTGGGATGCCAGTGTGTTAACAGGCCTGGGTGGCTGTGTGTACACTGCATGGGTATCAGCATTCAAAGGGCCCTGAGCAGGCAGGTGACCTTGTTCCTGTACATGTGGCTGTGTCCGCATGTGTGTGCTTGTCTGTGGGTGTATCTGTGTGTGTCGTTGTCTGTGTATATGTGCACTGGTGTGTGTGTGTGAGCCTGTGTGTGTCTGCAGGTATGCTGCCTCAGCTGTGTACAGCATGTGCCCACGTGTGTCTGTGTGGGCACCAAAGTCTGGGAGCAGCAGCAGATCTCCTGATATTCACGTCTGCGTCCACAGTGCATGTCTGCCTGTGTGGTGTGTGTCCCAGCACGTGCCTTGTGAGTGTGTGGGTTACATGTCAGGGTGTGCCTGGATCTGGCCACAGGTCTCCTTACTCTCAGGCCCTCCAGGATGGTAGTGTGGGGGGAGTAGCCCCTGGCACTCTGCCCACCCTCTGAGCTGCCCAGGCTGAGAAGGGCTGAGCCAGCTCTGCTCTCAGAGGCCCTGGATCTGAACCCCCATGTCAGAATCTAGGGGCTCTGGAGTGGAGGAACCCTATCACCAAAGCCAACGTTGTGTGTGAATAGATCCGCACACTGTGGTCCTCACCTCTCCCCAACCTTCTCCGGTCAGTTGGGGATGAGGTCACCAAGGTGGAAAGCCAATGCCCGCCTGGCTCCTGGTTGTGCCCTGGCCTGGGGCTGGGCCTGCTTCTTCTGCACCCACAGGCTTTGGGGCTGGTTTAGTCTACATTTACCCGCTGCCCCCTGTGGGCCAGGCCCTATGCCTGGAGTTTCCATGTACATTATCTCAACCACAGCCACCCTCTGGGACAGGAGGTATTTGCCCACTTTCTAGAAGAGAAAACAGAAGCTCAGAGGGGTGAAGTGACCTCTATCTGTCTCCTGATTGGAGGTGGTTACATATTACTACAGGAGCCCAGAGAAATGGTACGGTCCCTGGAAGGTTCCTAGAGAGGGTGGCCTTAGGGGCACACTGCTTTATTTTCTGTGAACAAGGTGAGCACAGAACCTTCCTAGTGAGGCTGAGGAGGTTCTCGAAGGTGGCCTTCCCCTCATGAGGGGCTGGCCCAGTATTTGCATGGGGCTTCCGTGCATGTGCCTGGGTGGAACCCTGAGATGGGGCCCCAAGTCGTGACTTTCATGATGAATCAGTGCCAACTGGTCCCCTTGAAGTCCCCTACCCTCCCCCATCAGCCTGGGGCCATCCTCCTCTCCCTTGGGGTCAGTTCCCAGCAGTGGGACACTCCTGGCATCTCTAGGGGATGGGGTTCTCCCTATAGCACCTGGGGCTCAGGGAAGGTCCTCACAGGGCCTGCTGATCTGAAACTGTTTGGTTCATGGTTCTTCAGGTTGGCACAATTTGGGATGGTCTCCTGAGAGATGCTGAAGATTTTAGCCTGGCATTTAAGGCTCTATTCCCCCTGTCTTCACCTCACCTGCCCCCTATATACCCAACTCTCTGGCCATGTCAGATGGTCGCTCTTCTGCAAACCCTTCGTGATACCACACCTTGTTCTTGCTGTTTTCTTTATCTAGATGACCTTATCCTTTTTTCAACATTTGGTGAACTCCTACACATCCTTCAGAGTCTACCTAAAAAGCCACCTCCTCCTGAAACCCTTTCCCGGTTGCCCTTTGTACATACTTAGTGGTTGCCTTGTCTGACCCTCTTGTCAATAGGAACCTGATAGAGTTCATTCTTTTCATCCAGGAAGAGTCATGCCCTGGGAGGTGGAAATGATGAATGAACAAACTAATGAACTAGTTAGCCCAAAGGCTCTCAGTGAACAATCTCCCCTCCTGCAACACCAGCTCCTGAGGTCCCCTGCCTTGTTTCTCCTCTGCTGTATCTACATCTGGGCTTGCTTAGTCCGATGCTTAGCTGGGGTCCTCCACACCAGGTGGGTGGTGTGACCCTGGCTACCCTGTCTCTCCTTCCCATCACTTGCTGCTATGGTCACCCTCACCTCCAAGCCTTGCGCTAGCCTGGGTGCTCTTCCCCAGCCTCTCTGCTTCCCACTCCTGGCCAACTCCTCCTCACCCTCCATGCATCTGCCACTTCTTCCAGGAAGTCTTCCTTGAAACTCTTCTTTCCACCCGTGCCTACTGCAGGAGAGGCACCTTCTCTGGCCTCTCAGCTCCCCAGCCACCCTGTCCAGCCCTGTGCCTGCAGACTGGGGGCTTTCTGAGGGCCCGGCTGGGTTGAAATCCTCTTTCTGTGACCTCAGTGGGAGAAGAAATATAATAGGGCAGGAGAGGTGGGGAAGGCCACTGTAGTGGCAGGGGAACCTCTCCTTAAGGAAACGTACCCACATGAAAATCCACATTTGCTCAAAGACTATCAGAGCTGAGTCTATATTCTTACATGGGGAGGTGAAATGATGGGGAGCAGGGCCTCATGTGTACTGAGCATGTTGTGTGTGTGCTGTCTCAGGGAGTGGTCCTTGCAGCCCTAGGAAGTGGGTACCTTCACCTCTGTTGCTCCTGAGTTCACCTGGGGCTGTGAGACGCCAGAGCTCAGGCGCTTTCCTGAGGCCCAGCCACACCACGTCTTGTCCCAGCTCTGCCCCTGGATTTGCTTGCAGTAGCCATTCCTGCTCGGGGCTCCTGTCTCCCCATCAGGGTGTGGGCAGGGTGGGCTGAATTTCCAAGGTCCCAGTCCAGGAGATTTCCTTGAGTTCTCAAGACTCTTCAGAAGTCCACTAGGGGGCAAGCAAGCTGTTCCCAAAAGAACCAGAGACCCTCTAGCAACCCCAAGATTCGTGACCCCTGCCCAGCCAGTGGAGGAAGGACGGCGCTGCACAGAGCGATAGGCGGGCCCCAACCCACAGAGGAGACTTGCTTGGGGAATCTCTCTGACAACTGATGGACAGTGAGAAGACAGCAGA